AGGCAGGAGAATCACTTGAACCTGGGAGACAGAGGTTGTGGTAAGCTGAGATTGTGCCATTACACTCCAGCCTGAGCAACAAGAGTGAAACTCCGTCTCAAATAAATAAATAAATAATTTTTAAAAATTAGCTGGGTGCCTGTAGTCTCAGCTACTCAGGAGGCTGAGGTAGGAGGATCACTGGAGCTGGGAGATAGGATGTTGGGGCCGCACTGAGCCCTGATGACACCACTGCATTCCAACCTGGTGACAGAGAGAACCTGTTTCAAAAAAAAAGAAAAGGAATAGGAAAAGCACGTTTGGTTTTTTCTGAATAACATCAAGCTGACAGAGACATGATTTTGTATTATAGACCAGAGGACCATGAATGATAAGAGTTAATAGAGGCCAGAGTCAAAGGTGTATAAAAGCTAGGCGTTGAGGGTGAATTGTTGACAGAATCCCATATTCAAGGACAGACAACAGTAGCATTGTAGGCTGGATGTGGTGGCTTACAACACCTGTAATCCCAGCACTTTTGGAGGCCAAGGCAGGAGGATTGCTTGAGGCCAGGAGTTTGAGCCTATCCTGGCCAACATAGCAAGACCCTGTCTCTAAAAAAAAAAAAAAAAAGAGGCCAGCCCGGTGGCTCAAGTCTGTAATCCCAGCACTTTGGGAGGCTGAGGTGGGCAAATCACTTGAGGTCAGGAATTTGAGATCAGCCTGGTCAACATGGAAAAGCCCTGTCTCTACTAAAAATACAAAAATTAGCTGGGCGTGGTGGCATATGCCTGTAATCCCAGCTACTCAGGAGGCTGAGGCAAAAGAATGTCTTGAACCTGGGAGGCAAAGGTTACAGTGAGCAGAGATCATGCCACAGCCTGGGGGACAAGAGCGAAACTCCATCTCAAAAAAAAAAAAAAAAGAGTAACATTGTTGATGGAATAGTTAACAGAGGCTTGGGTTTAAGGTCATATCTGAGAGGCATTGGTGGTTAACAAATAGAGATTTCCAGTCTGGACGAGATAACATAGATCTATTTTTCCCTGCTTCTTCCTGCTGAGTACAACTATCAACCCTGGAAATAGTACAAGAGAAAACCAAAGGGAAACTGAATGGCGGTAAGAAGAAAGTGAACTCCTGGGCTGGGCGTGATGGCTCACACCTGTGATCCCAGCACTTTGGGAGGCCGAGGCGGGTGGATCACCTGATGTCAGAAGTTTGAGGCCAGCCTGACCAACATGGATAAACCCTGTCTGTACTAACAGTACAAAATTAGCCAGGCATGGTGGTACATGTCTGTAATCCCAACTACTTGGGAGGCTGAGGAAGGAGAATAGCTTGAACCCAGGAGATGGAGGTCGCAGTGAGCCAAGGTCGTGTCATTGCACTCCAGCCTGAGCAGTAAGAGCGAAACTCCATCTAAAAAAAAAAAAAAAGAAAGTGAACTCATTTAGGATCCCAAGACTGGAGAAACAGCACGACTACACGGCATCTTATGACCCCCCAACCACAGAAAGAAAGCAATTCAAGCCCAGCATTTCCTGACCCTGATCCAAGCCGTGGAAGGCAGCCTGAATAGGCTAGTTGCTCTCCTGGATGAAAGGGAAGTCCCTCTGAAAACACGAGGCAAACCCAACACCAATAGTGAGGGGGTAGATCGGGAACCCACTAGCAATAAGTGGTCACGAGAAATGCTGTCCATCTCCAGGGACACCCCTCCCCCACCAGGGACCGCCCCCTCCCCGCCCCGCCCCACCAACACCCTAGCCCAACAGAGAGAACCTATATTGCATCAAGAAGACACAGACACAGCAAGAGGCCAGGCCTGGACAATCTCTTACCTTAAGTGCCTTGAAGACCCGAGACGCCCTTCTCCCAACAGTAGTCTTGGGACTAGTAGGTGAAACTGGCAGAAATGACATAACCACAGCAGGTGATCAAACTCAGAAAAACCCCTCTCCTGCTCAGAGGCACTGGGGCAGACAGGCAGAACCAGCAAAGGGGACCCAGCTACAACAAGCATCCTGGCCCAGGAAGCCCCACTAGCCTTGCAGGCCTGGGATTCCGCTTCTCTGCAGAGACACGTGGGCAGCCAGAAGGCACTGGTAGGAGGATCTCATTACATTGCCCCACTATCAAGAAACACCTGGAAGCCGGGCGTGGTGGCTCACTCCTGTAATCCTAGCACTTTGGGAGGCTGAGGGACAAGCATGGCTTGAGCCCAGGAGTTTGAGACCAGCCTGGGCAACATGAGGAGACCTCATTTCTACCAAAAATAAGAAATTAGCCAGGCGTGATGTCATGCGCCTGTGATCCCAGCTACTCAAGATGCTGGGGCAGGAGGATCACTTGAGCCCAGGAGGTCGAGGCTGCAGTGAGCCATGATGGTGCCACTATCCTTCAGCTTACGTGACAGAGCGAGTCTCTGTCTCAAAAAAAAAAGAAAGAAACACGTAGAGACCTGACCTGTAGAAAACTCCCCTGCTCCCTCAGGCAGCACCAGCAGAGGCAAGTGGGAGCCTCAGAGGTATCAGATAGACCAAACAGACAAAAATAGCACTGCGAAGGCTCTGAAGACTAAACCACCATTGGAAACACAGCAGAAAAACTAGGCCAAAACCTACATGATAAACCTAAATACAGTGACTCCCTGCTAAAATAAAAGACCTAAATAGGACTCAGAGACTCCTAACATAATAGCTGAGGATGCACCTCAAAAAATTAAAAATAGGCCAGGCACAGTAGCTCACACCTGTAATCCCAGGACTTTGGGAGGCTGAGGAGGGAGTATCACTTGAGCCCAGGAGTTAAAGACCAGCCTGGGCAACATAGCAAAACTCTTCTCTACAAAAAATACAAAAATGAGCCAGGTGTGGTGGCACACACCTGTAATCCCAGTTACTTGGGAGGCTGAGGCAAGAGGCTCGCTTGACCTCAGGAGGTGGAGGCTGCAGTAAGCTGTGATTGATCATGCCACTGCACTCCAGCCTGGGGGAGAGGGCGAGATCCTATCTCAAAAAAAAAATTAAAAATAGAATTACCATATGATTCAGCAATCTCACTACTAGATACATAACCAAAGCAAATTCTGTCATGAACCTGGAGGATATTATGATAAGGAAATAAGCCGGGCACAGAAAGACAAATACCACACTGTCTCACTTATGTGTGGAATCTACAAAAGTTGGACTCACAGAAGTAGAGAGTAGAATGGTGGTTACCAGGGGCTGGAGGTGAAGCGGGTTAGGGAGATGTTTGGGAACGTTGGTGAAGGACAGAATATTTCAGTTAAATAGCAGGAATAAGTGAGATCTATTGTACAACATGGTGGCTATAGTCAAGAGTAACGTACTGTATTCTTTAAAAAAAATAGAGACGCTGGGCGCGGTGGCTCACGCCTGTAATCCCAGCAGTTTGGGAGGCAGAGGCGGGCAGATCCCAAGGCTAGGAGTTCGAGACTAGCCTGGCCAACATGGTGAAACCCTGTCTCTACTAAAAATACAAAAGTTAGCTGGGTGTGGTGGTACGCGCCTGTAGTCCCAGCTACTTGGGAGGCTGACGCAAGAGAATCGCTTGAACCCAGAAGGCAGAAGCTGCAGTGTGCTGAGATTGTGCCACTGCACTCCAGCCTGGTAACAGAGCGAGACTCCATCTCAAATATAAATAAATAAATAATTTAAAAAACAGTGACAAGGTCTCCCTGTGTCTTTGGAGTGCAGTGGCCCAATCACGGCTCACTGCAGCCTCAATCTCCTGGGCTTAAGTGATCCTCCTGCCTCAGCACCCTGAGTAGCTGGGGCCACAAGTGTGAGCCACCACGCCCAGCTAATTCTTTATTTGTAGAGAGGAGTTCTTGCTATGTTGCCCAGCCTGGTCTCAAGCACCTGGGCTCAAGTGATCTTTCTGCTTTTGCCTCCCAATGTTCTGGGATTATAGCCATGAGCCACCATGTGCCTGGTTGTATTATATTCTTGAAAATTGCTGGCCAGGTGTGGTGGCTCACGCCTGTAATCCTACCACTTTGGGAGGCCGAGGCAGAAGGATCACTTGAGCCCAGGAGTACGAGACCAGCCTGGACAACATGGAGAAACCCTGTCTCCACAAAAAAATATAAAAATTAGCCGGGCATGATGGCAGGTGCCTATAGTCCCAGCTACTCAGGAGGCTGAAGTGGGAGGATCACCTGAGCCCAGAAGGTCAAGGCTGCAATGAGCCCAGACTGCACCACTGCACACCAGCCTGTACAACAGAGTGAGACCCTGTCTCAAAAAAATAAAGAAAATTGCTAAGGGAATAGATTTCAAGTATTCTCACTAAAACATGATAAGTATGTGAATGTGAAGTAATATATGTTAATTAGCTCCATTTAGCCATTCCACAGTGTATATATATTTCAAAACATCATGTTGTACATAATATGTATATATGCAATTTTTGGCTTTTTTTTTTCTTTTTTTTTAAGATGGGGTGTCACCATGATGGCCAGGCTGGTCTTGAACTCCTGACCTCAGGTGATCCACCCACCTCGGCCTCCCAAAGTGCTAGGATTACAGGCGTGAGCCACCGTGCCTGGCCCGGCTGTTTTATTTTTTTTTTTTAGACAGAGTTTCGCTCTTTTTGCCTAGGCTGGAGTGCAATGACGTGATCTTGGCTCACTGCAATCTCTGCCTCCCAGGTTCAAGTGATTCTCCTGCCTCAGCCCCCCAAGTAGCTGGGATTACAGGTATGCACCACTACACCTGGCTATTTTTTTTTTTTTTTTTTTTTTTTGTATTTTTAGTAGAGACGGGGTTTCTCCATGTTGGTCAGGCTGGTCTCGAACTCCCGATCTCAGGTGATCTACCTGCCTTGGCCTCCCAAAGTGCTGGGATTACAGGCATGAGCCGCCTCGCCCATTTAAAATTTTTAATTAAAAACAAATTATCAGAATACAATAGAAATTGTACTAAGAACCAAGAAAATCAGAACTTGAATACGAAAAGATAACCAACTCATGCCAACATCAAGATGACTCAGATGTGATTGCTTTGGCAACACATACACTAAAATTGGAATGATACAGAGAAGATTAGCATGGCCCCTGTGCAAGGACGACAAGCAAATTAAAAACAAATTTTTTTAATGATTCAGATGATGAAATTATCTGACAAGGATTTTAAAGCAGCCATCATAAAAAATTTCAGCAATCAACTACAGATGCTACAAATTCTCTTGGAACAAATAAGAAAACAGAAAAAATTCAGCAAAGAAATAGAAATTATTAATACCAAAAAATGGAAACAAAGAACTGAAGAGTGCAATAAGAGACATAAAAACCAGGATGCAGTAGCTCACACCTGTAATCCCAGCACATTGTGGGGGGCGAGGCAGGAGGATCACTTGATCCCAGGTATCAGAGACTAGCCTAGGAAAAATGGTGAGACCCCATTTCTATTAACAACAACAGCAAAATAACACCAAAAAAATTTTTTTAATCTCACTGGGGCCAGGTGTGGTGGCTCACGCCTGCAATCCATGCACTTTGGGAGGCCGAGATGGGTGGATAACCTGAAGTCAGGAGTTCAAGACCAGCCTGGCCAACATGGCAAAATCCTATCTCTACTAAAAATACAAAAACTAGCCAGGTGTAGCGGAGCATGCCTGTAATTCCAGCTACTTGGGAGGCTGAGGCTGGCGAATCACTTGAACCTGGGAGGCAGAGGTTGTGGTGAGCTGAGATCACACCACTGCACTCCAGCCTGGGCAGCAAGAACTCTGTCTCCAAAAAAAAAAAATCTCACTGGATGGGCTCAATAGTAGAATGGAGATGACAGAAGATAGAATCAGTAAACTTTTTAAACTTTTGAAGACAGATCAGTAAAATTCACCCAATATGAATAAAGGAGTGAAAACTGACAGAAAATACTGAACAGAGCTTTGCAAACCTGTGAGACAACAAAAAACCCAGTGTATTCATTTGTTTTCACACTGCTATAAGGAAATACCTGAGGCTAGGTAATTTATAAAGAAAAGAGATTTAATTGACTCACAGTTCCACATGCCTGGGGAAGCCTCAGGAAACTTACAATCATGGTGGAAGGGGAAGGAGAAGCAAAGCACATCTTACATGGTGACAGGAGAGAGAGAGAGCATGCTCAAAGGGGGAAATGCCACACTTTTTAACCATCAGATCTTGTGAGAGCTCACTCATTATCAAGAGAAGAGCATGGGGAAAATCTGCCTCCGTGATCCAATCACCTCCCACTTGGTCCTTACCCTGCCTGAAATGTGGGGATTACAATTAGACATGAAATTTGAGTGGGGACACAGAGCCAAACCATATCACCCAATAGTCATACCATGGAAGTCCCAGGACAAGAGAAAGGCAATATGGACGAAAGAGTATTTGAAGAAAAAATGAATGAAATGTCCCAAATTTGGCAAAGGACACAAACCTACAAATCCAAGAAGCAGAGGGAACCTCAAAGAGGATAAACTCAAAGTCCATGTCTAGATGTATTATAAAACTTTTGAAAGCTGAAGAAAATGAAAATAACATGAAAGCAGCCACAGAGAAACAAGCATTACTCATAGCAGAACATTAATTAAAATGCCAGCATTCTTCCTTTCCTGAGCAGGAAAAAAACAAAAACAAAAAACAGGAGGTTTCTCAACTGGAGGTCAGAAGGAAATAACAGAACATTTTTCTTTTTTTTTTTTTTTAAAGACGGGATTTTACCATATTGGTCAGACTGGTCTTGAACTCCTGACCTCAGGTGATCCGCCCACCTCAGCTTCCCAAAGTGCTAGGATTACAGGCATGAGCCACTGCACCCAGCAGCAGAACGTTTTTCAAAGTGCTGGAAATAAAAGAGCTGTCAACTACAAATTGTATGTCTGATGAAACTGTCAGGTAAGAAAGGGAAATTAAGACATAATCAGACAGGAAAACTAAATAATCTGTTGCTAGCAGGCTTACCCATAACAATTGGCTAAGGAAGTTCTTTTTTTTAATTTAATTTATTTATTTATTTATTTTTAAAGAGACAGGGTTTCACCATGTTGGCCAGTCTGATCTTGAACTCCTGACCACACCCAGCCAGGAAGTTCTTAAAAAAAAAAAAGAAAGAAAAAGAAAATTAGAAAAGAAAGATTCAGCCAGGTGCAGTGGCTCACACCTGTAATCCCAGAACTTTGGGAGGCTGAGGCTGAAGGATTGCTTGAGGATAGGAGTTTGAGACTAGCCTGGGCAACATAGCAAGACCCCCATCTCTACAAAAAAATTCAAAATTAGCTAGGCATGGTGGTGCACTCCTGTAGTCTCAGTAACTCCAGAGGCTGAGGCAGGAGGATCACCTGGGCCCAGGAGTTCAAGGCTGCGGGGAGTTATGATGGCTCCACTGCACTCCAGCCTGGCCAAGAGAGTGAGACCCTATCTCAAAAAAAAAAGAAAGAAAGAAAAAGAAAGAAAGAGAGAAAGAGAGTAAGAGAGAAAGAGAGAAAGAGAGAGAAAGAAAGAAAGATTGATTCTTGGCACATCAGGAAGGAAAAACACTCAAAGAAAAGGGCAGAAATATAAGTACATAAAATAGACTCTCCTTTTCCTCATGAGTTTTATATACCATATTTGATGATTGAAACAAAAATTATAATACCATTCGATGCTAAGGCAATGATATTTAAAAGTGGATTGGGCAAAGGACCCAAACAAAAGTGAGGTTTCCAAACTCCACATAAAGTGAAAAATTGTTAGTACCTGTAGGTTTAAAATATGAGACCGGGTGCGGTGGCTCATGCCTGTTATCCCAGCACTTTGGGAGGCCGAGGTGGGCAGATCACTTGAGCTCAGGAGTTCAAGACCACCTTGACCAAGATGGTGAAACCCCATGTCTACTAAAAATACAAAAATTAGCCAGGCGTGGTGGTGCATGCCTGTAATCCCAGCTACTTGGGAGGCTGAGGTAGGAGAATCACTTGAACCCAGGAGGCAGAAGTTGCAGTGAGCCAAGATCACACCACCGCACTCCAGCCTGGGAGACAGAATGAGACTCCACCTCAAAAAACAAAACAAAACAAAACAAACCATATACATATATATATATATATAGTCTGAATTCATACGAAACTCATACATTAAATCTTAATCTCCAGAGCAATAGTATTAAGAGGTGGTCCTATAGGAGGTGAATAGATTATAAAGGCTCCTTGCTCATAAGTAGGATTTAGTGATGTGACCTTATAAAAGAGGCCTGAAGTAGCTTGTTGTCCCCTTCTGCTATGTGAGGAGACATAGAAGGCACCATCCATGAGGAATGCGTCCTCATCAGACACTGAATCTGCTGCCACCTTGATCTTGGATTTCCCAGACTCCAGAATTGTAAGCAGTCCATTTCTGTTGTTTACAAATTACCCAGTCTACAATATTTTGAGAGAGCAGCCTAAACAAAGGAAGACAGTATGTTTTTCTTATTCCGGTACCATAGGCCAACAGATCAGTAGATAACTGCCATTGAAAAGATGGTTTGGGCCAGGTAAAGCGGCTCACGCCTATAATCCCAGCGCTTTGGGAAGCCAAGGCAGGCAGATCACCTGAGGTCAAGAGTTCAAGACCAGCCAGGCCAACATGGTAAAGCCCTGTCTCTACTAAAAAATACAAAAAATTAGCTGGGCGCGGTGGCGCACGTCTGCAATCCCAGCTACTAGAGAGGCTGAGGTGGAAGAATAGCTTGAACCCGGGAGGCAGAGAAGTTGCAGTGAGCCAAGATCGCGTCACTGCACTCCAGCCTGAGTGACAGGGTGAGACCCTGTCTCAAAAAAAAAAAAAAGAAACAAAAAGACACCAGAGCATGCATCTCCATCTCTGTCTCCCTGCGTCTCTGGCAAGGCAGGGTAAGAAGGTTTAGGATTAGCTTGTTTGAATAATTTCAGCATATGGGGCATAGAGATAGTCTCTAGATGCCCGGCCCTGGCACGGTTAGAACAGGAGGATAGTGGCCTGGAATGTGACAGCCCGGTAGAAGAGATGGTTGGGGTTATGGACTCTGGATTGGCTCGTTTGCATTTGAAAGGTATACCCAGGGACAAGTTGCTTACTATCTCTAGGAACTGGTGAAGCCTGGAAGGGACAGCCCCTCCATAGTCAGCAAGGCTCCAGATGGAAAAGTAGAAAACAGAAAGTAAAAGATGTAGTTAATAGCAGGAAGGTTACCACCATTTAAAAAAAAAAAAAAAAAAAAAGGAAGGGCATGGTGGCTCACGCCTGTAATCCCAGCACTTTGGGAGGCCGAGGTAGGCGAATCACCTGAGGTCGGGGCTTCGAGACCAGCCTGACCAACATGGAGAAATCCCATCTCTACTAAAAATACAAGATTAGCCGGGCATGCCTGTAATCCCAGCTACTCTGGAGGATGAGGCAGGAGAATCACTTGAACCTGGGAGGCAGTGGTTGTGGTGAGCCAAGATCGCGCCACTGCACTCCAGCCTGGGCAACAAGAGTGAAACTCTCCCACCAAAAAAAAAAAAAAAAAAAAAAAAAAAAGACATCATTACATCATTAAGTCACAGCAGACTGTGATAAGAGACTAAAAGAGACATGTGTATTTTAATACCCAGAACAATCACTATGAAAACTGTACAAGGAAGGAGATACACTCAAAATCGTTACATAAATCAAAGAATTCTAAAAAGTATCCAAGTAACCCACAGTAAGACAAGAAAAACAAGGGAGCTAGGACCAAAGAAAACAAACAGAAAACAAATAATAAAATGAAAAACGCAAGTGCTAACATTGCAATAGCTGCCTTATATGTAAATGGTCTAAATATGCCAATTAAAAGTCAGACATTTAGCCAGGCTGGGTGGCTCACACCTGTAATCCCAATATTTTGGGAGGCTGAGGCAAGAGGATTGCTTGTGTCCAGGAGTTCAAGATCAGCTCAAATAACATAGCCAGACCTCATCTCTACAAAAAAAATCTAAAAATTAGCCAGGTGTGGTGGTGCATATCGGTGGTCCCAGCTACACAGGTGGCTGAGGTGGGAGGATCACTTAAGTCTGGGAAGTCGAGGCTGCAGCAAGCCAGATTTCACCACTGCACTCCAGCCTGGGTGACAAAGTAAGACCCTGTCTCAAATAAATAAAT